TCTCCTGCCTTCAAGATGCCTAACTTTAAATTTCTTCTTTTTTTTTTTTTTTTTAAAAGAAACAAGGATTTTTTTGAAAATTTCAAGGTAAATATAGTTAATATTGCAATTATCATTGCATATGACATTCAAAGTAAATAAGTTCCAAGCTTATTGCTATATATTTGACATTGAGTGCTCAAAAACATTTCTTTTCCTTTATAATTTATTGCTGATCTCTTACCTTATTGCTAATTGACCTTAATGTTAATTAAAAATTACTCTAAAACGACTGTTTAATTTTATAGAATAAATCAGTAGTTATAGTAATAATAAGATATAAAAAATATCCATATCTTGATGAATATTTAAGTTACGTTTACAAAATTTCGTGCAGTTAATGCATATGATATTCAAAGTAAATAATATAAGTTGCAAGCTTATTGCTATATTTTCGACATGGAGAGCTCAAAAACATTTATTTTCCTTCATGATTTATTGCTGATATATATTTTGCTAACCTTTAAAAGCATTAAACTTTCTTGATGTGTATAAAAAATCCTGCAACCTAAACACTTCTACAATTTTAAAATATTTTTCTAAGTATTTCTTGAGAAATATGCAAAAAAATTAGCATAAAAGTGTTTTCATAATTCTATCTATCTCTTGTATTTTAATAAATATATTTGCAAGAGTACTTTTTTCTTGGAATATCACATAATTATAGATGCTTTTTAATTTTCTGAACACAATACCTTTAGTCCCAAAATTGGGAATTTTTTTTTAACTAAAACGAAAAAAAAAACTTTTAGGTAAGTGTCTTTGGAATTTAATTCTTTGAGATAGTTTGAGAAAAAATTTCTAACATATTCATGTAAAAAAAATTTACATTTGAAAAAAAAGAAAAGAAAAAAAAAATGCATGATGTATGAAATATTTTTATGACTCTTTGATAAAATTTATGTGAATTCCATGCGTTTCCTGATCTACTTTTGTAAACATTTAAACAAGTCTAATAAAAACTTTGCTTTATAACAGATACTTTCAAAATCAACTAAAATCCGGTTCAACAAATAATATAACTACAAAAATATAAAGTATTCATCAAGAACTGTCACAGTTAGCAAAGCCTAACCTATTTCTATTTTAAAACTGTAAAAGTAGATGAAGCACATCTAAAAGTAAATGTATTTTAGTAACTTTTAAATTTAGATCAAACAATTATTATCTGCTATTGTTGTTAACATCTAAACAAGTCCAATGAGTACTTTGATTTATAAAAAAAAGATACTATAAAAAAATGTGCTGTAAGAATTCAACAATTTAAGTATTTATCAATAGTTATCTGAACTGGCAAAACATAAGCCTAAATTAAGTAATAAGAGATGACCTTACTTCGAGATGCTTCATAATATTTATTTCCAACATTATCTTCGCCCATCAACTTTCCCTCACTAGGTATCACTTTAAAAGATCTTATAATATTATTTATGATCATACGCCATACACTCCTTCCTTCCGACATTGGTTCTTAGGATTTAAACTAAAGAAAAAGCAAGGTACTTTAATAGTAAATAATAATATAAATATTTCATTTGTAAATTTTTACAAAAAAGTAATAAAATTCTGACAAAATGAAAGAATATATGCATCTTTGAAAAGAATTGACAAACATTTTTGTTAATTTTTTAAATTTTTGCCAAAAATACTTTTAAGTCAGTTCCTCAGCAAGCACTAAATAAATCTTTTGCTGGAAATAAAGGACATAAAAATTAGGAAAATATACAAATGCAGAGCAAAATTGGATGAGTATATATATTAATTTGAGATTAAATACATTAGTTTGATGTATTTTTAATTTTCCATAATATTTGCCGGTTAATGATTTGTATGACTTACAAAAAATATAAATTCTTAGATTCCATTACATAGGCAAATTCATTTTCGCTTTTACCTGAAGAGCATTGTATACATTGCTTCTAACATTCTTACTGCAATCTTCACACGCTTGAGATTGTTTAATGGACCAATCTCATTCTATGATATTCACCTTGGCCAAACAGCTCTTTGCTTGCCATCAAAGGCCAAGATATGCGCCTATGCTTTTGCACATAAACTGTGCATGATCATGAGAATGATGGATTGATGGAAAACATTTATCCTCGAAAAACTCACTAATCAGTAAGGTTCCGATTCGCACGCAAAAAATTCTCGGATGTGAGTTCGAAGGTGTGAACGAGAATTAGTGCGGAAGAAAAGCCTGTTGAAGTTTGTGGGTTTGTATGTAGGGGCAGTGGGTTTGTAACGAAAACAATAAAAGTGTACACACAAAATAATATTAAAAATGAAGTTGATTTCTCTTTAAAAAAAAGTTCTTTAACAGTTAAAGACTGTGTGATTCGTGAAAGCAAGACCTATAGGACGCGTTGTTATTTGAGATGAATTCCTGCTAGCAGAACAACAGGATCATCAGCTGCACTGGTTGTTGTAGTTGTAATTCATTTACGTTGCTCTAGAGCTGCACAATGGGCTATTAGCGACTGTCTGGGAAACATCCCTGAGGATGATCCGAAGACATGTCAGCACAATTTTGATCCTCTGCAGCAGTGTTTCCTAAAGTGTGGTACGCGTACCCCCAGGGGTACGGGAACAGTTTAGCGAGGGTACGCGTCCTTATGCGAAATATCTTGCAATGAACGAAAATTTCAAACAAACTTATTTAAAAACAAAGCTAGCCATGAAAATTTACGCTTACGTATTTTTCTATTTTTTTTGAGGAGTTAGCAGTTAATAATTAGTGGTGTCAACAGCCAGTTGTGATTTTTAACTTTCGTGAAAAAAATTTTATAGTAAAAAATACACTCATTTTTTTATTAGTGGTACACTGCGTTACGAAAAATTTAGAAAGGGTACACAAAAGTCATAAGTTTGGGAAACACTGCTCTGCAGAGTGAATAGCACCCCTTCTTCGGCAGCTCGACAACCTGCTCGCGAAGTCGAGCACTTTACGTTAGAACAGCTTGACGAGGACCAATACCGCACTCCCTGTGGGTCCCTACGCAGACTGGCCCAGGTGGTCACCCACCCGTCCAGAAAGCATGTAACCGTACGGCAACCTTGTGTCGGAATTTTATTTTTATGGCCACGAAAATGTTTGTACTAAAAACCTTGGTAAAATGGTCACTTATGTCCATAATGACGTTCTAACTGACGTCACACTAGCGATAGGATAAAATTGCATTGTTCATTAAAATTTTAAGACAAGGGGCATTTTAACCGAGCATACAATACTTTGCTGAAAGAAACCTTATAATTAGCTGGATTTAAGATTATTTTCCCCTTGAGACTAGCTTTATTAAAGGATTTTTTTCACTCTTGAAAACCTTAAGTCAACCTCGATTTAAGTGTTTTGGATAGAAGGTTGTTTTCCAAGGTTTTGAATTAGGGTAGTGTGCGTAGAATAAAGCAGATTGTCACAGAGGTTGCATTAAAAAAACTGTGTACATTACTAAATTTTTGCTGAGTGAAAATAAACCTAATTTTGCTATCTGGGCAGCACACTGACCGCAGCCAGTGATTCTTGATATTAGTATTAATAGTGGTTTCAAACTCAATTTTTGGTATAAGAATCAGAATAAGCAAAATAATTTAGCTCTAAAATTTAGATAATTAAGCTTGATTTAATCGCTTTACTTAATTATCGCGATTTCACAGAAGTTAAGGCCCTAAGCTGTCATCGTGAAAAAATGAGTTTCTATCTCCAATGGAGACTTGATGCTTCTGGTCAGTGAGTATCAGCTTGTCAGGGAAGTAAAAGCTGCTGATGCGCAATGCTGATAATTGCGTTGATCTCGATATTAGGAAACTATAATCTCCATGAACTGGCTATTGCCTTACTCTTTTTCTTAATTATAGTTTACTCTTACTCAGTGATACTCTCCTAATGATCTTCAAGACGATGTTAATTGATTTAAAAATCTTTGAAACAAATAAAACTAGTAGCTAGATCGAGAATATTTATATGTCATTAACTGAATAGCTTTAAGCCTATTTTTCAAAGTTTAAATACGTTTAAAGAAAAATATGAACTTAAATTTAAATTTATTAATAACACATTTTACAAGACCGAGAAAGCTGAAATTTCTGTCTCTGATTTTTTAGCTTATTCATCCAAATATGCAAAGATTAAGAAAAAAATATGTAGCCATTCGAAAGTTAAGAAGGAGGTTATAGGCTTAAGTATTCACTCTTTATCTTATTTTTAAGAAATTTAATTGCTGGAAAAATTTAGAAATAAAAAATTAAAAAAAAGCTAAAAGAAATTTTCTTGCAAGACTTATGTGTGAATACATTTATTAGAAGTTCAAACTTGTGACGAAGTTAAATGAATGAAGAAAAATTCCAATTCAAAAACATATCATTAACACAAAGGAATTTTATTTACACTCATCATTAAAAATTTATAAGGTTTTACATCAACATTTTATACACATATTGCACAGATAATATAAACTAATTCATTCCTGTATGTTAAGCAAAATGATCTAGGCACATTGAAAAGATTTCCGTAATTAAGCAATTCATTTCATTAGTGTTTAAAATCAAATTATGTCATTTTCAAGTTTAACCTAAAGGTAAAGGTACGGGTATGTTCACACAACAGCCTATTCCTCTTTCCGCTGTGAGGCAGCAAACTTCCATTCTTGCTCTAGAACAATGGCAATCAGAATTTTGAGAACAACTTCTCTGGTTGTGGTTACACGTACTACACCGCATTCCTGTTTAAAAAAAAATACATTAAATAATTAGAGTTTGTTACAAAATTTAAATATTCGCATTGCAACCAGCCAAGTTATTTAAGGGGACTTGAATGCTCTAATTAATGCTGAAGTAGTTTTGATATACATTGCAAGGAAAAAAAACTAATTAACCAGAATAAATTTTTACCTAATGATAGGATCTTCAGGTTCTAGGACTCAATCTAAAGGTTTAAAGGGGGAAACATCAAGTATGTTAATTTATTAATACAGACGATGCTTTAAGTTACGAAATTAGACACATAAAACGTACTTTCTTTGAATAAACATTCCTTTTTTTCTGTCCTCCAAAATATGGGGGGAATATAATCTGTCTCCGAAATATAATATTTGAAATGTGGTTTCAATAGCTTGGCCAGGAGAGCTGTCGAAAGTTAGCGTATTTCGCTTTTATTTTTTCGAGAACTTTTTAGGGAAATTGAAAATATATTGCTCAATGTTATAAAATTCGTTTATCCGAAGATAATTCCAAGCAAAAAATAGCTTTTGGTAAATATTTATTGTTTTTTATTATTTTATTTAATAATAGTTGAAAATACATACAATTTTTTGCAACATTTTAAAGCATGTAATTTTATATGACAAAATTCAAAATTTGAACAAAATCGGTCGAATAGCCTGAAAAAATTTTAGAAAAGTCGTATTTTCGTTTTTCAATATTCTCAATAAATTTGTTTTCTCAAGAACTATTCGACCAATTTCGCCCAAAATAAAGGAGTATCCGCTATCAGAACAATATTGTACCAATAGTCAAAAGAGCGGTCAACATCTTTGAGTCATTGTTAGTTGCACTTTATGCATATTTCATCATATCTCCAGAACTAATTAAGTGAATCAAAAACTTTTTGCATAAATAATTATATAAAAAATAATATTTTTTTATAATTATTTTTTATTACTAATTTTAATAATGGTCGAAAAACTCAGAAGCGTTAAAATTTTTATTTTTTTGATTTAAAATTAGGCAGTTTAAACTGAGGTAAAAATTTGTGCACCTTACAATTAAAAAAGGCTTTCGGTCGTTGTTGAATGAAATAATAAAAATAATAATCTTAAAAATTTTTATTTTATGTGAAATTTATCTTTGGATAACCGTGTTTTGCAATTGCATGCAAAATATTTTCAAGAATAATTCCTAAGGTATATAGAAATATACAAGATATGAATTTAACATTAATGGGGTAAACGATTGGAAGTATATTTTCCAGATTGCGGATATTTTAAAGGTTATTATTCAAAATTCGTTTATTCAGAGAAAGTACATTTTCGTGTATGATTTTATAACTAAAAATATCGCTTGCGCCACCTTATTATCATATTTAAGGTTAGGCTCTCAAACCATTGCGATGATCATTTGAATATGTGAGAATCCGATCATTATTAGATCAATAATTATTCAGGTGTTCCGTTTCTGATTTTGCGCACTTAACCTAATAAAATACCGAATTTTCAACAACTTTTGTAATTTTTTCATCACTTTTTTGAAATTTGAAAATTTAAAATTTTTAAACTTTAAAATTAAGAAATTTTTGTCATACAAATAAATTTAAAGAACAACAAGTTGAAATGCAAATAAAAATCGGCAGCTGAAAAAAATGTTGAAATGAACTGAATATAGTAAAAACAAAACGAACACGGAACATAATCCTCTCACATGTTTCTTCAGGGTCATAGTTTCTCACGTTCTTTGAAGCTGCTTAACTTTGTTTTCATTAGAAAATCATTTATTTAAATTTCGATTTTACTTATTTTCATTCCGTTTAAAGCTCTTATTTATTTTCAAAAGAAAATAAACAAGAATAAAAAAAAAACTTGAACATAGCAAAATAATATTTAGATTAAATCTTAAGAGCATTTCTATATGTTATAAAAATTTCGGAGCTTTTTAACCTATTTATTATTGTTTTAAAATCAATTGTCTATGAGAAAGAGCATATTTTACACAAAAAGCTGAGCCAGCATATTTTTAACCGTCTAGTGTTCCCAGCTCCAATGAACAATTGTGAGCTTGTTCATAAAATAGTAAGTGCTCTTTGGAGACGAGTCATATGAGGCAGATTATTTCAATAATCATGAATATTTTGTTTTTAAGTTAATACAACCTTTCCTTTTTTTAAAAAATAATTTTATAGTTAGAAAAAGTTTTAGTAAATTAGGATATCTAAACGATTTTTGCAATACTTTTTAAGTAAAGTGTTATCAGATAAAAAAAAAATAATAATAACATACAGCATTTTAGAGAAGAGAAAAATTGACTAGAGTTATCAGAAAAGATTAGAAGAATCTTTTGTGACAATAACTTTTCAGGTTTTCAACACAAAGCCTATAAATGTATGTGTATTTGAACGTCGCTCTAGTTAGATCAGAGAATTTTTTTAGGAGAGGAGATTTGTTATATCAGAGGAATTTCACTAGAGAATTTTTTTTTCATTTAAATTGTAAAAAACTAAGAAAAAAATTGTAAACGGTAGAGACATTGGGTATTGTTTCATTCTCATTTCAGGACCTGAAATCATTCTTTTTCCCCATGAGTGTCACCAATTTCATGAGTATACAACGAAATTACAAATATAAAAATTGTAAATACTTAATAATTCCATTTTTCGTTTATAAAAAGTTTAAGCGAATGTTTTTTATTCTTTTTAATTTTTATAAAGTTTTAAATTTATCAGTTTTACAAAACAAAAGTTATTTCTTCGAAAATATTCCATAGGAAATATGGGAAGAGATTGGAAACTCGTTGTATTTTATGTTCGAATCATATTTATAGTAAGTTTTTCGACACAGTAACAGAAATATTAATCATATTTTACTACATTAAAAAAATCTCCCGTCTTTTTGCTTGCAATTTTTATACAGTATTTTTCTGAAAGTAGTCTCGAGATTCAGTTTAATCAAAAATAAAATTTTAAAATCTCTAACATGTAATGCGTTATGTGCAGTATATATAATAGTTTATGTTCTGTAATAGGTTGATCTTCAACATTTAAAATATGTTATTAATTTTCTTTTTATTTTTGTCTCAGTAACTTTATGGTATAAAATAGTACATGAAGCAAAATATACTTCTTGGGAAATATTGGAAAGCATGAAAATGAATAATACAGTCTAATATTAATCTAGTTGTTTAAGTTTTAAAATATATTATGTTAAAAAGGTTTTTTTTTAATGTTTTCCAATTATATTGCAATTAAAAAACCCAAATGAAAGATATGAATAATAAGAAATTTTTTTTTTATTAATACTTAAAAACCGTTTTGAAGAATACAGAATCAGAATTTTGAAAGTAGGGGAAATTAGCGTTTTTATTCCATCCAAGGAATATTACTGAAATATAGCTGGCAAAAACTGTAAAAATGATGTCTTTTTATTCTTTAACAGAAGTGCATGCTTCTTCAGATTTTATAAGTTCACCACGATTAGTTCCTTTTGAGATGAATAAAAAAAAAAGTTTGAAAACGAAACAAAACAAAAAATAATGCAGAAAAAAAGCAAAAAAATTCTGAATTATAACTATATTTTAGAAAGAGTTTGTCTTGTATTAGAATGTATGAGTGAGGGGAAAAAACTGAATAGTAAAATTAAAACGGTCTATACTAAAATTAAAAAGAAAACTGAGAATAACAACAATAAACTATGAATAAAATTTCATGAGTTTTTAAAATTCAGAAATAAATTCACAGAAACGAGCTACACCAACGAGAATAACTATTATTATTTTTATTATGGATTTAAATGAGAATTTCGACTGCATATTCATTTAAAGGTAAAACGAAAAAAGCTCTTGTATCGTGTTATGGCAATGCAGCTATTTTATTGAGCGAAATCAAATATATAATAAATGATTTTGATAATTGTTTAGGAAACTAGTTTTTCGAAAACTTTTTGTTTATATTTAAGAAAAATATTAATTTTAAATTACTGAATTTCAAGTACGGAATTTTTTTGTTATTGAAATGATACTGTACATTTCTAGAATAAAAAGTTAGGAAAATTGCAGTTACTTGGAAAAATCTCTAGTGTAATTTTAAATACTGAAATTTCATTTTATCATTTTGATAATTGCTTAAAAAAATTGATTATTTATCGAAAAAATTTATGTTTAATTTTGAAGAAAAATTTATATTTCAATATAATTTACTAAGAATAAGCATTTCCATTTTAATGGATTTAGATGAAATTTTTTTTAATGAAATCAAATATATAACAAACATGATTTTAATGTTTGTTTCGGAATTTAATTGTTTTTTGATAATTTTAAAATTTAAATTTGGAAGAAAAATTATTTTTGAATTTGATTCAAGTATGGAGTTCTTGATACTAAATTGGTGCTGTTGTGCGTATCGAAAACAAGTTAGGAAAATAGAAGTTAATAGAAAAATTTGAAAAAAAATTGACCGAAGTATAAAGTTATTAAATAATATTGAGTGGTCGTTTTATATTTTGAAAATAGGAAGACAAAAAAAATTGAAATTATTTGGAAAATTCTTAAATTATTTTTTTGAAATTTTAATACTTTAAAATTTGATTAAATTTGTTTTCATGCTTGAAAATATATATTTACGAAATTTTTTGGGAAAAAAGGCCCCCTTTTTTCGCCAGGTCTATCGTTGAAAGGCACATAAAATCTGTTGATAAATACTTAAAAATAAATAACACTCATTAAAGCTAATTATAAGTTCAAATTATTTACAATCATTAAGTCTTAAAACTTACTATTTTCGAAACTGTTACAAATCCTTAGAGCAGCAGATTCGTCGCCAACAGAATAACTGATTTGAATCAATAAATTTAAAAGTAAAGTTAAAAATTTTAATAATTGCTTTGGAGGCATTTGATTACTTTTAACAATGAAGAAACGATAATTTATCGCCTTTAAATAGCTCGTCAAAGTGATCAAATTGTTTAAATATTTTAATACATTATTTGAGTTAATGAACGAAAGGAGAATAACACGTGTTGAAAAACTGCGCAAGATTTTTAAAGGGAATTGTCGTTATTAAATAAAAGACTTTATTTCATCGATAGGTGAAAGATAGGTCAATAAACATAGCGATTGCTCAATAGTCCTAAATAACCCTGATTAACAACACGTGTTTGCATACTTTATGGGTGAACAAAACAAAAATTCGCTACTACTTTTATGCCAAAAAATTTAACAATAATTTCAATTTAAAAATTTAGAAAGCAAAAAATGCAGCATATATTTTGTAAATATTTTCTAGACTTGAAAAATATTTAATTTCGAAAAATAAGAAGAAAAAAGCTAGAGAAAAACGAAAATATTTTTTCTTCTTTTTTGAAAATCAATTTATAATTTTTATTATTTAACTTGAAAAAAAGATAAGCTCAAATAAATTATTTAAACTATTTACATCAGTTATTTGTTAATAAAATTTATCAGTTCGTAGTATTTCTGACCCCCAAAATTGGGAGGGTAGCCGCAATCACAATAATTAGGTCAGAAAAGAGGTCCTATTTCGCCGAAATTAGATCATATTTCGTTATATCTCTAAAATTTTTAAAGCGAATTCAAATATTTTTACACGCAAACATAAAATTCGCTTGTCCAAAGATAATTCCATGTAGAAAATAACTTTTAGTAAATATTTACTTTTTTTTCTTTCTTTTATTTAGCAATGGTCAAAAATTTTTGAATTGAAAGGTATAAATTTTTTTCACATTATTTTAAAGAATATAATTTTACAAGGCGAAATAAAAAATTTGAGGGAAATTGGTCAAATATATCCTGAGAAGACCAATTTTTAAAAAGTCGTGTTTCTGAAATTCACTTTCTCAGGAACTATTTGACCAATATCGTTCACATTTTGTATTTTTCCTAATAAAATTACGTACTTTAAAATAGTGTAGAAAATTATATCATTTACAAATAAAAATACTTTTGATTATTATAAAATAAAGTAATAAAAAATTATAAATAATTACAAAAAGTTGATTTTTGCATAGAATTATCTTTCTATAAACGAATTTTTTAATTATGTTCAAACATTTTTCAATTAGCTTTAGAAGTTTTTGAGATACGGAGAAATATACAAAAACTAAAATTAATATGTGATAATCAATTAAAACAGTTTAGAACACATTCTATTGAAACATACCGAAAATTAGTACGTTACATTTAAAATTTATCAATACGTAAAAGAGATATTTCGAAAGATATGGAGCTTATTAGTTAAAAATTATAATAATAATAAACATAACTATTTTATCACATTTTATGTAAAAATTTAACAAATCAAAATTGGATAAAAATTGGAAGATCCAAATAAGCTGAAGGTTGTTCAATGCTATAAAATAAAAATAAATTTAAACAATTCTAAAATCTTTCGACAGTTACAAAAAATAAACAGGTCTTTAAAAATTATTACACAATGTTAATAGAAAACAATCGTAATTAAAAAAAAATTCTATTGTGCCTAAATTAAAATAAATAACTAATAACCACATTTATAAGCTATATTAATACTTAACGGTTTCAACATCAAAATCGTTAAGTACTCTTCTAAATATTTTTAAAAAAATCATAAAATGGTTTTTAAGATACCACTTACGTCAAAAAAGTGATAAATATTGAATTATTTCTCTAAACTATTAATAAACTATCTAAAGTTATCATTTTTTTATTTTATTAAAAATAGTTTTTGGTGTTTTCTTTTAAAGTAATAATTTAAATAAAATTTTGAAATTTGAAAAATTATTGAGGGAGCACGTGTCCCCTTGTGCGTCCCCCAACCCTACACCCATGTTCATGATTGAAAAGGATTTACTAAGGGGCCTCCCGAACATGTCCTCCGAATATTTTTGATTCTATTGAAGGTTCATAGTACTCCACTTTTTGAGGGAAGGGCTTCCGGTTCTTTTGAATGATGTTCTGAGAAGCTATAAAATGTGTTTTTTTCCTTCTTATGTAAATCATTCGAAGAATTTCGTATATCGTTACTCGCTTAAATTCAACATTTTAACCATTTGCATTTATTATAGAGACTTTAATTATTCTTAATCTGAACGAAATAAAAATTATTTTACAACTTGAAATTAATTTTAAATATCAAACTATGTCTAATTCACACGAATGAGTAAATGAAATAACACAAAAATGACCTTCAAAGAGTTTTTTTTTTTTTTTTTTTTTTTTTTATTTTTCANTTTAAATTAAAACTGGACTCTAGTGGGCACTAAAACAAACCTTTTAAGCTGTATATTTTATAACTTAATGGATTTAGTAAGAAAAAAAATTGCTCAAAGCCCTAAATCTATTTTTTTTCTTCTGATAAAAAACCCATTTGGCGTTTTTTTTCGAGGTATGCACAACAGCATACTTGAAATCCTGACTAAAAAAACATTTTTTTTATAAGTTTTGTTTGGACGGAGCATTCTTATTTTACTACAATAAAGAACTCTCACAGTTAGTCCGATAGATTAATGAATTCTAACCCTCATTATACGTTTAGAGCTGTGGATGGCTTGGTTAAGTGCTGACTAATTGCACTCTGTATTAGAGTAACATAAATTAGGACCAGGATTCGAAGAACAGAAGTGAGTGTTACCATTTGGTCCTACCGATTACTTAAAATACCTAAAGGGAAGCTTGCGGCATTCAGCGAATGTGAAATTGGCTTAATTAATTTCTGTTCGTTTTTCTGAGAAAAGAGAGAGACTCTGAGAAATAATTTTCTATTTTTTAGAGCCATAGAATTCATTTTAACAAGAAAGGGAACATTTGAAGATCTTATCTTTTGAAATTGATACTCAAAATTTGAGAATTTTTTCCTCGAGAAAATGTTTTCTTTAAAAATAATAAAAAATCAAAACGAAAAAAATGAAAACCCCTAAAGTAAAATATTTAATAAAGAGAACAAAACAAAAACGAGATTTGTTTTTAATTTCTGTATATTCTGAAAAAAATGGCCTTTTATCAAAAATAGAAATAATAAAAAACAAATAATTTAAAAAATGAAACAAAATAACTATAATTCCCAAAACGCATTTAAAGTTCCGGAAAAGTTTGTTATAAAAAATTGCAACCTTCATGCACATAAAATCACTCTAGTGACCAAGCTGAAAATCATATTAAATAAACTTAGTGTAACATTGAATTTCATAAACCTAGTTTAAATATTCATGGAGATATGGATATTTTTATTAAAAAAAAACTATTTTTCTTACTTACGTTTACTTACTATAACTGCAGAAATATTCAGTAAAATTAAACAAAGATTTTAAAGCAATTTTCAATTAATAATAAAAATACCATTTTAAAGTTTGAAAAAAAAATCGTTATGAATTGCGCAAGATATGAGTATTTAAAGTAATCATTTCATACTGAGCATTCTCGGAAAACATTTAAAAAGAAAAATTCCCATCATTTTCTTTAGAATCGTATTTCGTAACTTATGAAAAATATCTGATTTAAATACCTTGAAAATGTAGAAGGCAAATGTCTTAGTAGCTTTCGTACTTTTTATTTTATTTTATTGAAAGCTCTAAATGATAAGGGGTTTTCGACAAATTTCATTTCGTATCATAAAACATAATTTAATAAGGTATGATCCTATATAATGCCGATGTCATATTTAATAAATCTTGTTTAATAGTACAAAATTAAATTTACAGAGAACTCCTCACCATTCAAAGTTTTCTTTCTAAATTTACGAAAACTACTTAGAAAATTGTTAAAAACTTTTTGAATTTTCAGGATATTCAAATCGGACTTTTTTCATAAGTTATCAAATACGATTCAAACAAAATCATGAAATTTTTTTTAAATGCTTTCAGCGCATGTGCAGAATAAAAATATTATTTTAAATATTCATATCTCGCACAAGTTTTAAAGACTTTTTTTCAAAATTTAAAATGACATTTATATTATTAATTAAAAATTACTCTAAATTTTTTTTAGAAGTTTATTAAATATTTCTGCAGTTATACTAAGCAGACATAAAAAAAAAAAAATTGCTCTTTTTTTAAATAAAAATTTCAATATTTCCATGAATATTTAAGCTAGGTTTATAAAATTTTATGCTGTTGTTTCATATGATAATCAACGTAATTGATATTAGTTACAAGCTTATCGCTGTATTTTTTGGCATAGAGTGTTCAAAAACTTCTTTTTCGTTCGTAATATATAGCAGTTCCCTTACAACATCTAAAAGCTTTAAGCTTTATTGATATATAGGAGAATCTAAGGTTTTAAATTAATTCTCTAAGTACTTCTAGAGAAATATGAAAAATGAATCCGTATAGAAGTATTTCCATTATTTAGTCCAACCCTTGTATTTCTGATAGTTAAATAGCTTTCACAAATAATTTATTCAAGAAACTAATAAGCAGTAAATAAAACTCAATATGTTTAAGATTTCATTCTAAATCACCTTTTTAAAACATTTCTTTTTAGTATCCAAAGATTTAAATTATGTTTGAAGTTATAAAATTTACAAGGTAACAAATTTAAATAATTTTTATTCTCTGATAAATCTTTGTCAAATGTCTGAAGTAAAGCACCGTACGTATCGAATATACAAGCAAATATTAATAACATCCTGAAAATGACGCGCCCGGTAATTAAATAATTTGTTGTTACTGAGTTCGCAAAACTGCGAAAAAAATTTGCTGATTAACACTAGCTTTAGACACCATTTCATGAATTCGAAAAAAAAGCATGATTTATATTAGAGCAATACTTGACAATTTTTACTCCAATATAAAAGAAGATTTTACTTGTGTTGTAGCTTAGGTGTAGGAGAGCTGTGAGACCACCCAAGGCAACTAAAAGTTTGAGCCGCCGAAAATTCCAGACTGATTAAAGTTTTTCTTAACATTTGCTAAATCTTGGATATATTTTTACAATTCCTTGGATTCATACGAGTTATTATAATTTATATTTCCAAATGTGTCTAATTTCATTTCAATTATCGTTCCTTTGTATGAGGAGTGTAATTTTTAAAATAACTTTTGCCTACTTTTACGTCATAGAAATTAATTGTATTAAAAATTGTGTGAAGGGAAATCCCTATGAACTTTTACGAAAAAAGCCAAGAAAAATAAAAAACAGTGTTGGCATG